ACTTGAGAAAATGCTCAGGATCACTAGCCATCAGAAAGATGCAAATCAAAACCATACAGAAATCAACAGACAACAAATGCTGGTGAGGATGTGGGGAAAAAGGTACCATAATCCATTGTTGGTAATATGATATAGTCACTGTGGAAGACAGTATGAAGATTCCTCAGAAATCTGAATATAGACCTACCATATGATCCAGACATCCCACTCCTGGGAATTTACCCAAACCAACCAAAGGAAATCAATATCTGAAAGAATTATCTACCCCTATGTTCAATGCAGCATAATTCACAATAGATAAGATATGCAATCAACTGAGATGTCCATCAACTGTTGACTAGACAAAGAAATTATGGTATTTATATACTATGGAGTACTACTCAGTTGTAAAAATATGAAATCCTGGGGCCGGTGCTGTGGCTCACTTGGTTAATCCTCTGCCTGCAGCGCCGGCATCCCATATGGGCGCAGGGTTCTAGTACTGGTTGCTCCTCTTCCAGTCCAAGTCTCTGCTGTGGCCAGGGAAGGCAGTGGAAGATGGCCCGAGTGCTTGGGCCCTGCACCCACATGGGAGACCAGGAGGAAGCACCTGGCTCCTGGCTTTGGATCGGCATAGCTCCAGTCGTAGCAGCCATTTGGTGGGAACCAATGGAAGGAAGACCTTTCTCCCTGTCTCTCTCACCGTCTAACTCTATCTGTCAAATAAAACAAAATTTTAAAAAGAAATGAAATCCTGTCTTTTGCAACAAAATGGTTGCAACTGCAAACCATTATACTTAGAGGAATAAGGCTGACCCAAAAAGACAAATATAATATGTTTTCCATGATCCATGTTAACTAATAGAGTATCTGAAATGTGATGTATTGGAGTGAAATAGACATTTTTAGAATTGATGATAGTTTGTAGCCCTTGTCTCTTCTGTTGAAGAACAGTTCTTTTCTCTCTTCATACTATTTGTTGAACTCTTTACTTCTTTTACTTAGAGTAGGGTTAACTATATAATCATTAAGTACACTGAAAATAGATCACTGTAAAAATTAATAGTGGGAATCTAGGAGGGAAGAAGAGGACGGGATGGAGTGTGGTCAGGAGGAAGGGTGGGAGGGGAAGTGCCAATATGTTCCTAAATTTGTATATGTGAAATATATGAAACTTGTATAACTTAAATAAAATAAAAAGAGAAAGTGTTCCCAGAAAAGCATAGAAGGTCTTACTAGATAACACAGATATCTACAGAATAGAAGTATTAGAGGAAGACAGAAATGACGACATGCAATGATTTTAAAAAAATAATTTTTAATATTGTAGGGACAATAAACTCAACTTGCTTGCTAAGACCCAGGATATCTGTATCTATATCTATGACGATGTTCAAATGTTTATGTGATATGCTTTATGAAAAACTATGCATGGATTTCAAAATGTTTTTGTATCAAAATGGACTTTTAATTCCATTTTCCATGAACTTTTGGATTCCCCTTATATTTATTTCATTCTAGATTTCTCATTGAAACATTCCCTAGGCTGTCTAGGTAGAATAGAAAGAAGAAAGAATAGTTTCATTCTCTTACAGAAGAGAGATGTGAGGCTAAAATGACTTTATCCTGATAACATAGTCAATGACTATAAGAACAGCATCTAAAATCCCCATGATTTCTACTCCAAAAATTTTTTTTCTACTAAATGTCATGGTATGTGATGATTCTGAAATAGCTACAGTAGATTCAGCTTGTGAAGAAAAGCCAGTATGACAAGAAAATTACTTTGTGCAAACTTCCATGCAGTGACCACAAAGCATTTTAGCCACTGGTCCAGTTCTCTGTCTCTCCAATCAGCCTGTGTAGCTTGAGGCCAGAAACTGTCTTAGTCCATCTTATTTCACCAGTGGTTATACAGTACAAAAAATAGTAGATTGTTAATAAACATTTGAAGAATTATTAAGTGAAGAAATGGAAGCATGAACCAGTCTTCAGGAATTGAGACTCTGAGCAAAAGAGAATTCTGGAAAAAGAAAGGATAGAATAATGTTAAACAATCATGGTCACTGAGTTGGATACTAGTATCACTGAAAAGAAAATAGATTAGAGACAGTAAGACAGATTATAAATAGAAAAAGGAGATGGTATTTGTTTTGTTCCATTTATTTTTGCTTTCAAAGCTGACAGTTTTATTTATGAACACAGGGTTTGCAGTAAAAAGAGAACAGATAAGAAGGCAAATGCCTGGAGAAATGGTTGATGAACAAAAGTAGGAAACAGAGTTAGGAACTTAAATGGGGATAGGAGAGAATTAGGAAGATGTTGGGCAGGAAAGTGGGAAAAGTGAAAGAGAAGAGGAAACGTTCAGTGGGATACTCTGCAGTCATAATAAGGTTGCTTTCTTTGGAAATTCAGAAGCTGAGAAAACACAACTGAGAAAGTAGAGCCATCTGATGGGCCAGAGAAGGGGAGTCAGACACACAGCACCGGCTGCTCATTGGTAAAGGGGAAAGGAAGAAAAGGATCTCAAGGAGGTAACTTCTGTCACTTAGCAGGAAACGTCTCCTGTCCTGCAGGTATAGAAGTCAGGGCTAAGCCTCGCCTTATCACCTTCAGCTTTTTTCTCCTGTCACTTTGACATCTGCCCTCAGTGTTGTTCTCTGACCGGCTAGGGAACTCTAACTGGGCTGTACAATTTTCCCAGACTCTGCACTTTCCTATACTGTTTTTCCACCATCAGAACTTTTCCACCTTCTATCTCATCCTCTCCAGACACCTATTTCTATGAAATGACACAGGAAGCTATCTGGTTCTTCAAATAAAGTGATTCCTGTTGTAGGCTTAGCTAGCTAATGTTTACCTTGCCTATTCCATATAATAGCAATGCAATTAGCATAAAGTAAATGAGTGGATGAACTATTCTGG